CCCGCCGGCGCGCCGCCCCCTCCCCCCCCCCCCCCCCCCCCGGACCTTCCTGCAGGTGGTGCGGTCCACTGGGAGGTACCAAACCCGGGGTTTGGTTCCACAGCCAGACTTTGTTTCTGTGAATTGTATTAAAGGTTTGTTCCTTGAAGAGAAATGGCAGCTCAGGTTGGAAATGAATTTCACTGAATAAAAAGATTTGATCCACTGTTCAGCGTCACTTCATGGTTTTAGATTTTAGTCCACTGGTCCAAATATTCTAAATATTTATAGAAAAAGTCTCCATTGTTTACTCTCTGAATTATCAGTAAAGTATGTTTTATAAAATAAAATGTGTTTTAAATTAATCCTTTTAAACCAAATTTTCCTTCACTGTTTTCTCTGAACTAAAATCTCTGATTTTCTCCGTGAGGTTTGGTCGTCTTCACACCTTCATTCTTTCTTCTCACCGTCTGACCTTTGACCTCATGTTTAACCCATTAGTTGAAGGATCTAGACACCGGTTGATCCAACAGAACCAGTGACTGTGATGTCATCAGTGATGTCATACTTCCATTTATTTATGAGAAAATTCAAGGTTTTTCTCTGAAAATGAAGAAAAACAAAAGTGAAACTTTTTTCCAGATTCTGTTTTCCCAACAGACGTGGGGAGTGATGACGTCACGGGGGCGTGGGGGGAGAACAGAGGGAGAGAGAGAGAGATGAAATTCTTCACTTATGAGAGAACTCCACTCCTCCTCCTTCTCCTCCTCCTCGTCCGTCTCTCTGCTCCTCAGTCAAACTGCAGCTGCTCTCAGATCAGGTAAGACGCTCCTCCTGCTCCTCCCGCTCCTCCTGCTCCTCCCGCTCCTCCTGCTCCTCCTGCTCCTCTCATTAATAACTGATTGATCTGATGATTGAACCGATGGTTCCAGTCCAGAGGTGTGAACTCTAATTCACTCTGGGCCAAAAGTAAAAACTAAAAGTAAAAACGTCGTCTGTAAACGTTGATGTTTCTCTTCTGTCTGTGATGTCGTGGTGTTTCATGTCGTGGTGTTTCATGTCGTGGTGTTTCATGTCGTGGTGTTTCCTGTGGAACTAAAGGGTTAATGTTATAAAGACATGGAAGGAGAAACCAAACGTTTGATTCTGTTTCTGTTCATTTTTACTCTCAGACCAACAACCAGTTATAACAGGAAACACACCGCTAATACTATACTGGGGGGCGGGGGCCAACTCTGGTACACATTTGATATGCTCTCATGGGCCCAATATAATTATACTGCGGACCAGATTTGGCCCCCGGGCCAGAGTTTGACACGTGTGTTCCATTGCAGCACAAACTGACTTTGTTTTATAACGTTCATGTTGACCTTTGACCTGGCTGTGATGTCATCATGTTGGTTTGTTATTAGTACTAGTATAGAAATGTCAGTTAACAGTTAACCACTAACTTGGTTATTGACCTTATGAACTATGACCCCGGTCACATGACGCACCCTCCAAACCTCTGATCTGGTCTTTGTCTCAGGAGAACGTGAACCAAGCAGCCGAGACGCTGGCCCCTGCTGGTCAGACGTTGACATTGTTTTCACCGACTCAAAGGTTCAGCTCTCACGAAGCCATGCCCTCCGTAAGCCCCGCCCTCTTCCTGCTCCTCCATCTAATTAGCCACGTCGACCCGGCCCTTTCAACCTCACAGGAAGTCCAGGTCAAAGGTCGCAGGACACCAAGGGACACCAGAGAGGACACGATCAAGGTGCTTTCTATGACACGATCGCTGTGTAGTTTTTTTTCTTTCAGCCGTCGAGGATCGGAGCGGAACGTCAGGAATACGATCCGTGTCCCCGTACCAAACCCGGTCTGGGACCCAGATGTTGGTCCACTGCTGCTCCGTCACTGCACTGTTTGACATCCTTTGTTCAGATCGACTGCAGTGACACACACTGACCACCGGAGGCAGCGGTGGACCAGCAGCTGTGGCGTCTCCGTTAGCTAGAATCACAGAGACATAGGATCCAGGTCCGGTCCGTAGTTCTGGTTCCACCTAATACTTTTTAGGAGGACCAGCGACACCTGGTCTTTCAGCCTGAACACTTCTTGACTGTCGACGACTTTTGTGCCACTGTTGTCGCAGGTGATCGTCTCCGACATCTCCAACAGTTCTGACGTCAGAGGAGGTAAAAGTCCAGATGTTCAGAACCAGAACTGTTTGAATGTTCCAAGGTAAAAACCAAATCTCCTGGTCCTGATCCTCAGGTAAAGAACTGGACCTGGTCCCTGGTTCTTCTCTCTTCCTGACTCATCAGATCAAACTGGTTCCATCAAGTCCAGGTCCAGGTCCAGGTCCAGGTCCGGGAACCTGTGGCTGTGAATCCGACTTCACGGTTCTGCTGGAACGACTAGAGCGTCTGGAGAAGGAGGTGTCGACCATCAGGGGGCAGTGTGGAGGCAACTGCTGCTCTGGAGAGGAGAGCAGAGGTGAGAGACGGGGGTGAGACAGGGGGTGAGACAGGGTGTGAGACAGGGGGTGAGAGACGGGGGTGAGACAGGGGGTGAGACGGGGGTGAGACAGGGGGTGAGACAGGGGGTGAGACAGGGTGTGAGACAGGGGGTGAGAGACGGGGGTGAGACGGGGGTGAGACAGGGGGTGAGACGGGGGTGAGACGGGGGTGAGACAGGGGGTGAGACAGGGTGTGAGACAGGGGGTGAGAGACGGGGGTGAGACGGGGGTGAGAGACGGGGGTGAGACAGGGGGTGAGACGGGGGTGAGACAGGGGGTGAGACGGGGGTGAGACAGGGGGTGAGACGGGGGTGAGACGGGGGTGAGACAGGGGGTGAGACAGGGGGTGAGACAGGGGGTGAGAGACGGGGGTGAGACGGGGGTGAGAGACAGGGGTGAGATGGTGCTTTATCTTGTCCATTTGTTTAAATTGAGTGACACCTAGTGGTGAGAATGTAGACTGTTCCTTCAGTGTGACTCCACAGGATGTTTTTGTTTTTGTTTCCACAGCGACACATGTTTCAGTCAGGGGGCGGGGCCTAAATCTGCTCCAATCAGGGACTAATTATTTCCCTGTTTGTGTGTGTGTGTGTGTGTGTGTGTGTCTGTCCTCACTTCACTGCCCAGAGTGATGTCATCATCGTCTCCTCCAACAGTGATGCAGATCTGCTCCACCCTGTCTTTCACACACACACACACACACATGCTCTGGATGTCTCAGTCTCCTCTGTCCTGTCCTCAGGTCAAAGGTCAACTGTCTCCAGTCTTATTGACCAGTCATTGACTAGAACCTGGTCAACTGTCAGACTAGTTCCTCCAAAACCAGCTGTTGATCACGGGGGGGGTCAGGGGGGGGGGGGGGGGACTCCCCCCACAGGAAGACTTGGAGAAGACGGTTGATGGACATGTCCTGATGAGACTTTAAATAAATGCTGCTGTTGAGACCCCCAACAGTGGCCCCTGCTGGTGATGTAAGATAACAACAGCGTTTTGTTCCGTCTGCTCCAGGCGCCGGCTGTTCCAACAAACCTGAGGAGGTCAAGTGTCCACACGAGTGCAGCCACCGGGGGCGCTGCGAGGACGGACTCTGCGTCTGTGACCCTGGATTCACCGGTGCCAGCTGCTCTGAGGAGACGTGTCCAGGGAACTGCAGTGACAGGGGGCGCTGTGTGGCCGGAGTTTGTGTCTGTGACCGCGGCTTCACCGGCGTGGACTGCTCTGAAAAAGTCTGCCCCAGAAACTGTACCAACAGGGGGCGCTGTGTCAAAGGACAGTGCGTCTGTGGCCCAGAATTCAGCGGAGCCGACTGCTCCAAGAAAACGTGTCCCAAAAAGTGCAGCGGTCGCGGCAGGTGCGTCAGCGCTGGTAAATGTGTCTGTGACCGTGGCTTCACCGGACCGGACTGCTCTGACAAGGCCTGTCCCAAGAACTGCAACAACAGGGGGCGCTGTGTTCACGGTGCGTGTATCTGTGCGGATGGTTTCGGCGGCCCAGACTGTTTGGACAGAACGTGTCCGAACAACTGCAGCGGTCGCGGCGCGTGCGTCGGCGGCCGCTGCGTCTGCGGCGACGACTTCTTCGGCAACGATTGCTCAGAAAAAAGCTGCCCTGGTGACTGCAGCAGCAGGGGGCGCTGCGTGGACGGCCAGTGCGTCTGCGGCGACGGCTTTGGTGGAGAGGACTGCTCTGAGACAACGTGTCCTGGTGACTGCAGCAGCAGGGGGCGCTGCGTGGACGGCCAGTGCGTCTGTGACGGTGGCTTCACGGGTGCGGACTGTTCCACCCACGTCTGTCCAAACGACTGTAAAGACAGGGGGCGCTGCATCAAAGGCAGGTGCGTCTGCCGGTCTGGATTCACTGGACTGGACTGCAGCCGGTGTGTGGACGGCAGGACAGGACCCCACTGTGACACAGGTGAGTCCAGTGCACCACCACACTTACTCCAGAGCGCCACCCACTGTTCAGTTGGAGTTGGCCCAGTGTTAACAGTCAAAACAGAAAATGATGAAGTTCTAATCTGAACCACAGTTTGGACCCAGTTGTGTCAGTCCGGCCGGGCCGCTGACCTGAGGTTGAAGCACCCACAGACACATGCTGGATGTTCAGATCCCACCGTGTGTTTGGACTGCGTACTGCAGCGAGGATCGACGTGACCGCGCTAACATGATGATGATGATAATCACAAGCTGGGTCGCGGCTCCTCTGCTGTTGAAAAAACTTGGAAAAAGGTCCAACAGCTCGAAGCAGCTGCCATGACTCAGGGCCACGCCCTGCTGTTTGAGACACATCTGTTGTTTTGTTGTCACAGAAACTAACGTTTTCACTTCACTTCACAACATTCTTTGGTTGTTGTTTCACAACATCCTCCTCCTCCTCCTCCTCCTCATCAGTTTGGTCACGTGTTGTCGTGGACAGAACTCTGATTGGTCCACGTTTCTCTGACTTTTCTTCAGTGTTTTTTTTTTTGTTGTTTATAGAAGAAGGTTCAATAACAACAGGCTGCAGCTGCTGAGCTGTAACTCAGACGACCACCGGGGGGCGACAACCCTCACAGGTCATTGTTGGCGTATAATGTTAGACATGTATTTATAACAGTTAAGAAAGGTCAGAGGTCAGACTTAGAAAGTTAGGAATGAGTTCATTAACCTTGAGCATCTCTTCAGGAGCGAGACGTTTCACCTGCGCTGAGATCTGTCTTATGTTCAGATTTTAGCTGTTAGCGTTCAGCTAGTTTGTCTTTAGCCGTAGCTGTAGGTTTGATTCTAGGATGTTGTACGTATGGTTAGCATCAGCTTTTAACGTTTCTTACTCACTTTTGATTGACACGTCACAGACACACAGGACGCCCAGATGGACACGTTCCACATGTCTGGAGGTCATGTGACGACGACCCCAGACTCCGCCCACTCCTTGTGTTTTCTTCAGTGCTAATGTTTTAAATGTGGTCGTTGCTACGTTAGCTCATGTTTTTGGGCAACGTTCAAGTGACCGGGTCCAGAAAGAGTTCCTGAATCATCAGAACTTTTCACCCATTTGGTAAAAGTCGGAGCTAATTAAGACCAACTGTTGGCAACCGCTCACAGCACCAGACCAGAGTCCACGGAGAAAACTGACCCTGACCCTGACCCTGACCCACATCAGACCCATCAGCCTTTGACCTTTGACTTAGTACCCACCATTGTTCAGATGGGGACTCTTGAACACCCCCCCCCCTTGACCCCCCCCTCTCCTCTTATAGTAAAATGTAGATAAAAATGTGTTTGTGTTTGTCTCTGTCTCTGTCCTCAGTCATGGTAGGCGTCTCTCAGTTGAAGACTCAGGACATCTCAGAGACCTCTGCCACTCTGGTCTGGACTCCACCCCCCCTTCACTATGACACCTACCTCATCACCTTCAACAGCCAGGTGGGTGATGGTCCTGGACGTATCCAGACCCCGGTCCAGTAGTCTGAGGGGACAGTGAGGCTCAGAGCAGGAAGTCATTTGTAGAAAAGACAAACGCTGTTTTCATTTGGACCAACTTCAGTGACACCGTTTTAATGAAACACTGAAGGTTTTTAACAACAACGTGTCACGGAAACAGAGCAGAGACAGAGGAGAGGGAGGTGGCAGGATGTACCGTTGTCATGGCAACGTGTACACACAGGCTACAACACTGCAGCAGCACCGGCGATGACATCACTTCAGCTGTGATGTCATAGAGACACATTTAGTTCCAGTCCCCTGATCCTGTGTTTTAGTTCTAGTCTGTCCCCAGACGTCAGACACAGACTGACAGACTGCTGCGACTGTACGTAGACTCTACCAGCTGAGGTCATCGTCCAGGTTTGTTTTCCTTTGTTTTGTGTCGAGCAGCAGGACAGTGAGCAGCAGCTGAGCTCTCGGGTGGAAGGAACTCGGACCAGCTTCACTCAGACCGGACTATCAGGAGGCCAGCGGTACAGCGCCACCATCAGTGGAGAGATCGAGGGGCGCAGAGGAGCTGAGAGTTCCACTGATTTCTACACCTGTGAGAATTTACACACTTTATTTAGTCTGGTGCTTCACACCAAGACCAAGGGGTGAACGATCGACTGAAGTGTCTCCGTCAGCGAACACTTCATCTGTGGACTCTGGTCTGAACTAAAATCTCTGATTTTCTTGTCTCCGCCCACAGCCATCTCACCTCCGTCCAACCTCCACGTGGTCAAAACCACCTCAACCACCGCTGTCGCCCAGTGGGAGGAGTCCCAGGGTGAGATTGACAGGTACCGTTTGACTGTCACTCCTAATGACGGAACTGGGCAGAGTCAGAATATAACGGTCCCAGCCGGTCAAAACTCCGCCCACATCAGGCAGCTGGAGGCGGGGCATATGTATGACATCATCCTTGTCGCAGAGAAGGATGACGAGAAGAGCGAAGCTGCGTCGTCACAAACTGTTCCTGGTGAGTTTAAGGAGAAGGTCAGTGACCTTTGGTGACATCGATGGTGTGTGAGGAGTGTGTGTGTAAGTCCGGTAGAGACCTGGACCTGGACCTGGACCTGGACCTGGACCTGGACCTGGACCTGGACCTGGACCTGGACCTGGACCTTCTCTCTGCAGCTCGGTCCTGATATTTAAGCTGACATTTGTTTTTCTGACCTGCAGGTTGTTGATCTCAGAATTCAAATGTGCCCATGGTCCAGGTGCTGGACCTCAGCCTGGTGGGTCCAGGTGCTGGACCTTCTCCTGGTCCCGGGTTCAGGATCTGAGCTCCATGTTGTTTGATTTTCAGGAACCTGCAGAATCTGAAGAGTTCTTAAATCATCAGCAGACTTCCTCACCTTTCAGGTTCAAGTTAGCAGTGGGAGCTGCAGCTTGTCTTATCAGTGCACCAGCGCCCCCTGGTGTTCTCTGGCCATTTGGACCTGAATGTTATCTTTGATAACTTATTTCTTCTGTTTTTCTTAACACGGGTCCTTTATGTTTTCTAGGAGTGACACATCCGTGGCGTAGCTCGGCACCTTTGACTCTGCAGGTCACGCTCCGGTCTGAAGGACGAGGTCACGACACGAAGAACCCAGAATTTACACCATCACAAGTGGAGGAGGAGGGAGGGGCCAAGAAAGGGGCTGCTACTGTGGATGTTGGAGGAGCCCCCAGAGACCCCTCCGCCTCTGTGATAACAAAACGTAAACCCTTGGTCAGTCGGACCCCGGTCAGGAACCTCAGCCGACCCACACATCCTGAAAGACTCACGCTGCTCAGGAGACCAAAAGTTCCAGGTTCTGTCCTTGTTAACAAAACTAGATTTGTAGCAGGAGAGAAAAGGGTTCTTCCCCCCTCTGCTGAGAAAAAGAAGAAGCCCATAGTTCCAAAAGTCCCCGGACCAGCTGCCTCCAGACTAGAAAACAAAGATTTGGTAGGACCTCCAACTGTAGGTTCCAGCAAAGACGCTGACCGTAACGTTGAGCCGATGACATCAGAAGTACAAAGACAAGTCTCAAAGAAGGAACCAGAAGTTGGTACGGCACGACATGGAGGTTTCCCTGGTCCATCGCCAACAGTACCAACTGGTACTAACCCACAGGTGGAGAAGAAATGCCTGAACAAAGTTAAGGTGACGCATTCCTCCAGATTCAAGAACCGAGGCAGCGGGTGCAGCAGGGACGGAACGCTTCAAGCAGGGAACTCCCTGGGTTCAGATCCAGATCCAGGTTCTACCGGAACTGACGGACCACAGCCTTCTGCACCGAGAGACCTGGACCTTTCCCCTGATCTTTTCCCCAAACTCTTGACCGACACCTATCACAAACTGAACGTCACAACGTTTTCAGTTCACCTGTCGAAACCGTCGAAGCTTCCTGTCGAGGCAGACACGGCATGGAAGACGGTGTTAACCGGACTGAAACCTCTGTCCTCATTCTCATCATCATCATCCTCCTCTTCATCTTCATCCACATTAAACTCTCCTTCTTCTTCTTCTTCTTCTTCTTCTTCTTCTTCTTCCTCATCAGTCTTACGAACACCAAAGTCACCTCCGTCCTCCTCCACCTCACAGTCGTCCGATCGACCCTCGAGGTCTCACAGTCCCACATCCTCATCTTCATCCACGTTAAACTCTCTTTCTTCTTCTCCGTCCTCATCAGTGTCGACGCCGCGGTTGTCCTCGCTGGTCTCACGCTCCTCCATTTCACCTTCTTCTGACTCTGACTCTTCGTCACCTTCCAAAGGATCTGAACCTTCTGCTAGCCTAACCTTCTCAGAGTCATCCTCGTCTTCACTGATCTCACAACCGTCACACTCTCGCTCGTCTTCGTTCTCGTCTTCCTCATCAGTCTCACGACCATCTTCTAACTTCTTGTCCCAGGAGTCATCTCCTGGCTCACTCAGCTCACATTTATCATCTCCCTCCTTCACAGTCCCGAAGCCTTTGTCTCCCCCGGCGACTTCACGCTCACCTCTGACCTCACCCACCTCACAGTCCTCAAACTCTCAGTCTTCATTGTCTTCATCCTTCTCACGTCTGCCGTCGATCTCTACGTCTTCACTTCCATCAGACGCAGACCCAACCCCACATCCGTCCACCCTTTCGTCTTTGTCGACTCTAACCCCACCTTCATCTGTGTCTACAGCTACAACACCATCATCTAAATCTCCTCCATCTTCATCGTCCTCTTCCAGCTTAGCCGAATCTGATTCACTTGATTCCCGCAAACGTGACGTGGGGTCACCAGACCAGAGACAGGAAGTACCCTCCACAGGAAAAGGCAGAAGACCACTTCCCCAACAAGCACCTCCAAAGCGTGGCTTTGTACGTCGTCCTCACCCAAATTTAGGTTTGTACAGAAATAGGACTTTAAGACGTCCTCACCCTCTCCCTGCTCCTCACACCAACACCATCCCTGGTGGAGAAACAGAAACCAGACACAGTCCTGTGAATGAACCAGAGTCCCACCCTGTTGTGGGTCCGGGTCTCCATGAGGACCAGGCAGCTCCAGCTGCACCAAACCAGAATAAAGTGCAGACAGAAAGAGGACGAATCCCATCTCGACAACCGTTTCCAAAGGATGGATATGTTCGCAAGGCATTTCCAAACCTAGGGTCTTTCCCGAACAGAACTCGTATTACTTCGAGGCCTTTGACTCGTCCACCCAGGCCGGTACTTCCGAGGCCTGAGGTGCAGACAAACCAGATTTCTTCTACTGAAGAACCGGCTCCATCATCAACACCTCCTGTTGTCCAGGAATCCTTTTTGTTTCAAGATAAACCAGGACTAAGAGAAGATACTTTCATGAAAGACTCGTCTGTGTCCCACAACGTAAGTCAGACTCTTGAAGCTACGAGAGCTCCGTCTCATCATCGTCTGTCCACCAAAATTAAGAATATCCCACGTCTTCGACCGTCTAGTCGACGTGCTCAAAATGGAGACCGTTTGAACGCGCAGGGACCTCCGTATCCACATGGGGGATTTGTCCGCAGACCTTCACCCATCAGAAAACTAAATGAGGGAACTAAAAGTCCGACAGGTCAACAGGAAAGGGAGAGTACCGCTAAAAGTCGTGGGGTTCTAAGATCTAACCCAACAGACTTGACTGATCCAGAGAGTTCTTCTGTAGGACCACAGACCACCCTCAGTCCACAGGGTGATCAGTTAAAGAATGTTCCTGTCCAAACCACTGAAGCTGAAGGAGAAGAATCCAGAACCACCGTTTCCCCCGTGGCCTCAGAAACCCAACGTAACAAAGGTGAAAACCTGGTACCGAAACATCAACAGAGATCAATGGTCCAACAAACCTCCTCTGATTCACGGCTCTTAAGACCGGCCTCACTCCCAAAGAGACCGTATGAACCCAGGAACCTCTCAGGAAGTCAACACAGCCAAATTAGGAAGTACATCAGCTGGAACCAAAGGGGGCAGGGTCCAAAACCAGAGCGTTTTTCTGCTCCGACTGGGAAACTCAGAGGTGCTGCTTTCAAACCTGTGATCAGATCAAACGGGTCCAATCCAGACCATGTAAACCAGACCGCAGGTGGACACAAACCCATAAGGAAGTCACCACCGGGAGGGTACCCAAAAGTTACAAGAAAAGAAGCTCAAGAAGAAGAAAGACCAACGCAGAAGGAACATCTGAAAGATCTAGAAAAAGTAGACTCTGAGGAGCAGGACAGACAACGGCCTGCAGGGGGAGAGGAGTCTGAAGGTAGGACTCCTAAAGATAAAAACAGAACATCTGAAAGTCCAGCAACACAGGATCGTAAAACAACAACCGGTCAACAAAAACCTTCCTTCAGAGAACCACCTCCTGGTGCTCCACTCCCCGTGGAGGAGGACTCACCTCGGCCTCGACCTCGACCTCGGCCTGAGTACGCTGTGACCTTTCTTGGAAATGGTCCTGGTCTTCTGTCCAGACTACACAAGCTGGTCATCAGTACAGGTACAAGGCACCGTGATGGTGGAGTGCTGATGGTGAGGAGATGTCTTCAACAACCTGCTCCTGCTCTGTCCTCCATCACTGCTCCTCTGTCTTTACTCCATCAGGTTCAGGTTTTTTGAAGCTTTGTTTGAGGGACTGAATCCAGCATGGGAAGGTCAGAGGTTCAATCCCCAGCTCTAACTGCTGGTCCCTCTGTGTGTGTTCATTCACTGGTAGTGTGAATGGTAGGGGGAATGGTTGTGTGAATGGTTGTGTGAATGGCTGTGTGAATGGTTGTGTGCATGGTAGTGTGAATGGTAGGGGGAATGGTTGTGTGAATGGTAGGGGGAATGGTTGTGTGAATGGCAGTGTGAATGGTTGTTTGAATGGCAGTGTGAATGGTGGGGTGAATGGTTGTGTGAATTGCTGTGTGAATGGTTGTGTGCATGGTAGTGTGAATGGTTGGGTGAATGGTTGTGTGAATGGCTGTGTGAATGGCTGTGTGAATGGCAGTGTGAATGGTAGTGGGAATGGTAGTGTGAATGGTTGGGTGAATGGTTGTGTGAATGGTAGTGTGAGTGGCTCCTACTTCTTTCCTTCTTTCCAGTCCCAACCTCAGGTGCCTCAAAAAACCTCAACTTCACACCTGCGATTCCATCAAAGTGTGAAGCCCAGAATAACGAACCCGTCTGTTTCTACCCTCAGTCGTCAAGTGATCATCTTTCAGCGTTTCTCGTCATGTGACCTGCACTCCTCATTTTCACTCCACTTGTTTCCAGCTTTGACTCAGCTAACGGTTCTGTCTTCTGCCCTTTGTCTCCAGGACCACACTCTGCTGCCACTGGTCCTTTGACTGCACATGGTCAGACATATATACACAGTATATATGTCTACTATATATATACTGTATACAGTATATATATATATGTCTACTGCTACATATATACTGTATACTATATATATACTGTATATATATACAGTATACACATATATATACTGTATATATATGTCTACTGCTACATATATACTGTATACTATATATATACTGTATATATATACAGTATACATGTAGCAGTCAGACATATATATACAGTATATATATATATATGTCTACAGGTACATATATACTGTAAATATGTCTAAGAACATTTTCGTCTAAATTTAACTACGGGGCCAGTATTTACTAGCGGTACAAGCTAAGTTAGTTACTGTTGCTAACGGTAGTTGCTGAAGCAGTTTTAAATAAATTTTTTTTTTTTGTCCAACTGCTTCAGTTAAATCATCATCAGGTTAATGTTTTTAGTTGGATTAAGCTAATGTAGCTAACAGTTGGTCAGGCACAGGAAGTGAACTGTAACTATTGGACAGCTAGTATTTTATCAGCAAATCAGAGCGAGTGGTTGTATTGATTAGGGTCATTGTTTATCTATAAAGCTAATCATCTTAGTTAGCCGTGATGAGGAGAACCACTGCTACTCTGCTAGCTTACACCATAAACAATATACGGGACTGATGGGTTCAAAGTGTAACAGAACAGTTTTTAGTGCTCACAGGTGGAGTTCCTACAGCAGCGTAGTTCTGGTGGGAGTGGAAGAGTTAGCCCAGGTCGCTAATCCAGGTCGCTAATCCATTGACCTCCCGTTTTCTCTGACTTTTCTTTTCTCTAATTTGATGTTCTCATTTTGATCGCTGCTCTTGACGTCACTCAGGTCCAGAACCTCCAACTAACATTTTCTTCAGTGAGCTGACGGAGAACTCGGTGACCGTGTCCTGGACCAAACCAAAGAGTCGAGTCAACGGGTTCAAAGTCACCTACACCAACACCCGTGACGGTCAGAACAGAACTTTAGGTTCTTCATATCCTCATGAATGGAGGATCTGGGACTGATCCTGGTTCTGGTTCTGCAGGGGAACCGGTGTCGGTGTCCCTGGACTCCGTGGATTCGTCCGTCGGCCTTTCACAGCTGTCTCCGGGTTCAACCTACGAGGTCAGCATCGTGTCCACCCTGGGGACGGAAGAGAGCGACCCAGTCAACCATCTGGTGAAGACACGTGAGTGTGACGGTTGTTTTAGCATCAAGCTAATATTAAAACACAGTGTGGCTAACAACGGTGCAGCCGGACCACGACTGCGTCACTGCATCACTGTAAAAACCTCCTTAGCTAGGTGAAGTTAGCCTAGGCTAAGGCTAAGTGAGTGAAGCAAGAGCTCATGTTAGGAACCAGCATTAGCCTTTTGAGCTAAGTTGGCTAGCTCAGCCGACACCATTCTTTTAACCACAGATGTTTCCAGTTGTCGATATTTCATTCAAATTTAAACATCATTTTAAACTCATGTCATTTTTTTCTGACATATTTGCCCCGCCCCCTCCTCCACCCGTTCGGTCCAGTCCCGGACCCTCCCACCAACCTCCGCGTTGTGAATGTCACCAACTCTGGAGCGCTGTTGTTGTGGCGTCCAGGGCTAGCTGCCGCTGATCAGTACACCATCGTTTATGGGTCAGGTCCAGGTAAACTATGACATCATCAGGTCAGACTGCCCCCCCCCC